TATTTCTAATACTTTTTCAGTGTGAAACAAAAATTAAATTTATGCAATTTGATTTTTTTTTAGTAATAAGATTATGCTAATATTACTAATGATTAAAATCTTTAATTAACATTGGTTTTGTCTTAAATACTAGTAAAACCGACAGTAGATTTAGCTTTAAAACTGTCTTAGGTTTGTGTTAAATATGGCGGCTATTCAGAGGTATTAGAAAGTTATTTTAAGACTGAATCATAATTATAAAATATTATTGTAGTAAAAACAGCTGTAATACAATAATTAAGTTGTATTACTCATTTTTACAAAACAAGTTCATCATGGTTTGTTGTATAATAGTTTCATATTGCTGCACTATATGACAAAATATAACATAACCTTACTAAACCGTTTCCGATTTAAGTATTTGGGAATTGAAATGATTAGATTTGTTTCTACAGCTTTATAGAGCAAGCATAATTTTTAATATTACGAGAATAAGCAAATTTAACATGGACATCGCCAAAAATATGGCTTTCTTTTAGTATTGGGGCATGATTATTCAGAACATACCTAATTATTATCTGGCTAAATGATAGTTTTTTTTTTTGAGTGTCTAGACAAACCATCAAAATGTTTTACTAATATTTTTTACTGTTCTCTGAAAAGCAGGTACCACTTATTTTTTATATTTCTTCACTATTTAAATCTGACATTTTCAGACCATACACTCACATACAATTGGTATGGGAAGTAGTTGAACAAACATAAAATACAAAAATAATATGGCGTAGGTACTACCGAATGTAGTTGCTTTATTTTTTTATAAATATTTTTAAAGGGATAATACTATTCTTAACTAAAATAATTGCTATACAGTTTTCTGATTTGTAATAGTGTATTTCGACAATATATTACAGTTATTTTAGAGTTTTCATCAGAAGCAAATTGCTATTGATGCGGAATTATCTCACACTAATATTTATATAACTATTTTTTAAAGCGTTATTATGAGATTAAGAAACAGTTATATTTGTATGACCAAAAAGTTCTAAAGGTAATCCAGAACAATAATATAGAATAACTATAAAGCAATTTTATTTTATAAGCTGAAATATTGTATAGAACAGTTGTATAAATGTTTATGTAACAATTTCATAGTTATCGTGAAAACTATTTTATAATTTTGCTGTAAGAATATTGTAAAAACTAATTTATATAACTATTTAGTTTCAGAGAACAAAATAGTGATTTCTGCAACTGTAGTACAATAAATTAGCATTCCAGAAACAGCAATATAATATCAATAAAATATAATAGTCTTGTAAACTAAAAATTATAAAGCTACTTTGTTAGTTGGGTTCAGTTAAATTTCCAGGAATGAAAGTGGTCTTACATTATGATTACCTAATATGGGTTGGTATAAACCTCACGAAATAAATGTTGGTCAATATTATCCCAGTAACGGCAATTAGGCCTATTGAAAGCACAGTTTAGTACACTCATCGAAAAAGCAAATATTAAATAAATCCGAATATTTTCAATTAAATGATGTTTAATTTTTTCACAAAACTGCAGCCTTCTATCAGGATCATTTTCATTCAGTTCCTGTTATTTTTGAAACAGATTTTCACTTGGAACAGTAGTTTCGGTGGACGGAGATTCAGTTTATTTTAGCTGCGTTAAGTCACTGGTATGGTCAGACTGTTCACTGGACAAATTAGTCAAAACTCTCTAGTTTTAATTTTTCAAATTCATGATCAGCACATTATGGAAGTACAAGACCAGCCACCATTCATATTTTTGATAAAAAAATAATATAAGAATAGGCCGTCGTTGTGGTTTGATGTTATGTTAAATTTTAAAACACTTAATTCACTAATATTAAATAATGGAAAATTATTTTTTATGTGTGCAAGTACACCAACAGATGACATTAGAGCATTGACCATTACCTAGACAGTTTTGACTACTAAAGTCAGACAAAATTCAATGACCGTTCTGAGCGACCAGCTGATTAGTCATGATCGGTTTTCTGTTTTCTGTTTCTGTTTAAGTGAGCGGTCAGATCCGCTCACTTAACGAACCCTTTAAGTTGCTATAGTTCTTCCATTATCAATTGCAGAACATAAAAACTCGTTCGGAACCTTTACCGACAATTTTGTTTGATCTTCCATAGGCGTAGATACCTACCTCATTTTATAAATTTATTTTATAAATACTTTTAATATATATCATATGGAAGAAAGTATTCGTTAAAAGGAAATCGAATCATTATAAATTGGACGTTATTATACGCCTTGATTTAGACATATGCACTTAATTGTAATAATAATAATAATAATAATAATAATAATAATAATAATAATAGCTTTATTGCCCAACAGTTTCCCATTTACAGGACAATATTCTTAATAGTAAGTAACAATAATAAAGTGGTATCTAAAAATAAAATTAATAAATTCTACTTATGGGTTGTGATGTAACATATATTTACACGAAAACTAATTAAAAGTTGCAAAATAAAAACTATAATAGAAAACAAATGAATATTGTGAACAAGCCAAGAATATATTAAAAAAAAAAAAAAAAATTCTTACAAAAATAACACAGGGAGAATTCAATATACTTATTACAATATTTCGTTAAGGAAAGTAACTGCATTTTTAATTAGTTCACCAAGAGAACAATGAAAAATATCGCAATGACTACTAATTTTATTGTAATTGTTACACATTACATATAAGGGTGATTTTAACATCAAGTTGGTTTTTGCCCTAGGGCATTCGAATAGCTTGTTGGTTCTAGAATTTAGACGGGGTATATTAAATTTAATTTGTGACAAAATATCGCTACAATCAATAAAATTGTGCATGAGTTTAAATAGAAAAATAAGCGAGGATGTGTTCCTTCTTAGGCTCAGGCTATTAATATCAAATTGTTTACACAACTCCGTATAATCACAACCACGTTCGGGATATACTCCATCAATTTGGAAAACTAGGTATTTTAATAATTTTCTTTGAACCCGTTCTATATCCAGAACGTAGCAGTTGTAATAAGGGTTCCAGATCAGACTACAATATTCCAGCTTAGAACGCACGTGGGTACTAAATAATAATTTAAGGGGTGCTATATTTGAAAATTGCCTGCAGTTTCTAATAATGAATCCATACATTCTAAAAGCTTCGGAAACTTTAACTTGAATATGATTTGAGAAGGTTAATAATTTAGCATCAAAAATTACACCTAAGTCCCTAATAGTAGAACATCTCTCCAACTCATTATCTCCAATCGAATATGAGAATTGAATATTTTCTCTTTTCCTAGAGTAAGTAACTATCTTACATTTTTGAGCATTTAGGTGTAACATATTTGTCTTACACCAGTTATTAATACAGTTAAAATTTCTCTGGAGCTCATTGCAGTGATCTGTATTTTTAATACTTAAGAAAATCTTTAAATCATCCGCAAAACACAATTTATTACAACTAATTTCATTGTATAAATCATTAATAAATATTAAAAATAGTAAAGGTCCAAGATTTGAACCCTGTGGTACTCCAGATGTAACCGCAATTGATTCTGATTTAAATCCATTGTAAGTAACGAATTGTGTCCTATTTGATAAATATGACTTAAATAAAGCTAAAGTGCTGTTAGAAAAACCAGTCTTTGAAAGTTTTGAAATTAAGAAGCTATGCTTAACTCTATCAAATGCCTTCGAGAAATCGGTATATATCACATCCACCTGTCCTTGGTCATCTAATACATCCGCAATAAATTGTGTAATCACAGTTAAATTTGTTACCGTTGACCGTTTGTCTATAAACCCATGCTGATATGGTGAAATGTAACTTCGGACAAATGGATATATACGATTATACAGAACGACCTCGAAGATCTTCGAAAAGTTGCACAATAGTGACACCGGCCTATAGTTTCCTACCTCAGACTTTGTCCCGCTTTTAAATATTGGGCATATTCTAGCTTCTTTCCATAGTTTAGGATATTTCCCCGTCTTTACCGATAAATTAAAAATTTTTAAAAGAGGCTGTGTTAAAATTCTGGAACAATCCTTAATTAAGAAGGACGGTATGTTGTCTGGGCCCGATGTCATCTTATTTTTAAGTTTACCAGCAGCCACATCGATTTCTTTTTCACAAAATGCTGACATATTTATTGTCATGGGTTGCGTACTAATATTTCCTACTAGTTCATCAGGATTATCGGAATCCCAAGGTAAGTATACCCTTTCAAAAAATGATTTGAATGCATTAACTATACCTTGCGGATCACTGAAAACAGTCCCATCTAAACTCATTTCACCTGGTATTCTCGAAGATTTGTTTTTTGAATGTATATAAGACCAAAATTTTTCAGAATTATTTGAAATACTTAACTGAACATCTTCCAAATAATTATCGTAGGATATTTTAATTTTCTGTTTAATTAGTGTTCTAAGCCGTTTAAATTCGAGCAAATCTGCATGTAGCCCTATTTTTTTATACTTCCGATGATATCTTTCTTTCAGTTTTATATATTTAATAATGTCTGAATCAAACCATGTTGGATATTTATGTTTATAATTTCTGTAAGTTGGAATGTGTTTATCAAACACAAGATATATTTTATCATAAAAATCACTAACCATCCTATTGACATCATTGTATACATCCAAAAAACCCCAGTCGAGGCTTGACATTTCCGTATACAGTGATGGAAAATCAGCTTTTCTGAAATTGTATACTTTGGTTTGCGAATTAGGTAAAAAAGTAATATCCTTTTTACTCATTTCACTGAAAGTGATTGACAGCGCCGGATGGTGATCATCCTCTTTTACAAGTGGTAAATCATCATGAATAACTTCTCTTTCATTGGAGGAAATAACCAAATCAAGCGTACGATTTAAGCGATTTGTTACATGGTTATATTGAACTAAGTTATGTAATTCGATAAAATTCATTAAAATGGAAGTCTCGTTGTCTGATATGTCTAAACTTATAAATTTTGGAATATTAAAATCTCCTAACATAATAATATTATTAAAGATATCCAATTGCTCTAAACAATCAAAAAAATATTCAAAATCATCTACAGTCAGCCTATCAGGAATGTACAGAACTAATAAATAAAATACTTTATGGTCAATCGAACACTTTACAATAAGTAAATCGATTGAGGGAAAATGTATATCAAACATAGATGTATCAAACTTGCTTGATTTTATGCAGCTTTTAAGTGCCAATAATACTCCTCCTCCAGTTGATTTTTCTAGTAAATCTAGTCTGCGGTCTTTACGGTACACTTCATATGTCTCAGAAAATATTTCCGAACTTTTAACATCACTACTTAGCCAAGTTTCACTTAACGCGACTACATCGAACTCTGCTTCACAAACACTGGTATAAAAATCGTCAACTTTAGAATTTAAACCTCGCACATTTTGGTAGTAACATTGAAGCTGAGCGTTATCGTTTGAGGACCTGTTGGGCATTAACGGTTTAAAGGTACTATGGTTGGAGTACCATCAACGTATCTAATTCTAAACTTTTCAGTACATTTATTGTTTTTCTCATCCAGTTCCATTTTCAACTGTCTGTAATAGTCTATTTGCCTTTTAGTACGGTCAAAGGAAATAGAAACATGTTTATATTTTCCATTCTTTAATGAGCTGGCTTGCTTAATCAAACTAACGACATCGGTTTCTTCCTCCATTGTAATCTTCATTGGTCTGTTTCGGCTATCACTAAAACGACCAAGTCTAATTGGCTTCAGATGTTTTAGATCTATGCTCCGATCAATATATTTTATAATGCTCTTTACTTCTGTTTTATCATTTTCGCTCCGATCTTCTGTTGATAGGACCTGATCCTGTTCTGGAACCCCAAAAAGAATAATATTGCGCTTTCGTTTGTTTCGCTCATTAATTTCTTGGACAACTTCTTCAAACACTATTGAATTATTAGAAGTCCCCAATTGTTTATTATCCTCTTTGAGGCTTTTGACTTCTTCTTGAAGCATCAGTATTAAAGCGTTAAGATCCTTTATTTGATTTCCAATCGTTCTGCAACTAGTACAAGACCAATCAAAGCCATTTTCGTTATCATTAAACATATTTATTTCCTCAAGAGTAACATTTACGCACAAATGTCTGAACACCTTAGTGCAAACGGAGCATTTAATCATAAAATTCGATTTGTACGACTTATTGCAACAGGAACAAATTAAGTTGGGCATGTTTGTTTGTATTTCTACAACCCGCCACTGGACTTCGTAAAATGTATTTTTATTATCTCTATTATCTCTGACGCCTCCTTATCTATCGCAGGTTAGGATATAAACAAACTAAAAAGTGCATTCAAACTACTTTAGAAAGATCTAATACAGCTTACCCCTGCTAAGAACGTAGGTTAAACTAACAGTTAGTTGCACTTTCACAATTTATTTTAAATAATTACTACTATAATAATCCAAAAATGACAGAGCAAAAATTTACCACAACTTTATCTAGGTACCATAGACTTACTTGGACTTTAAAAAAATCATTATAGCTCGTTAACTTGCTACAACTGAATATTATTATTTATTGTTTCGGCCTTTACTTGATGAAAATCCATTTTATCTTGAATGAGTCAAACCAAATTTGGTAAATTTTCACAAAACTTTTATTTTAAAAAATAAAAAATAAAAATTGAAAACATAATGATCAATTAGATATTAATAACTCACCCTTATTAAATCTTTTTTCCTAGTTTTCTGTGAGATAATCCCGGTAATGTTACTATCTTATTGTTATTTGATTGATATCATAATTACCTAAATACCCTTATTTACTTTAAATAGTTAGTTTATTTTGTTATATTATTGATGTTTTCTTGAGTACTTTGTTTTGTTAAATTATTGTGTAGTGTTTTTAATTTTTATTTTTTATTTTTTAAAATAAAAGTTTTGTGAAAATCTACCGAATTTGGTTTTACTCATTCAAGAACTGAATATTAAATTATAAAACGTAAAAAAGCGAGTAAAGTGTACCTGCCTGTAAGGGCGTTTGGTTTAAACAGGGTACCAGACGTGAACTGAGCCCTTTTTGTACCCCATTCGTTTTTTTTTCTGGAAAACGAAATTTCAAAGCAAAAACCATAAAGGAAAATAAATTCTTTGCAAATAAAACAAAAGAAAAAAAACAATTCAATTCTAAAGTATCTTTATAAATAATCATTGCAGTCTGAATCATCTGAACTAGAGTCATCATTTGGTTGAATTATGATGGGTTGTAAAGAGAGTAATACTACATACTCATCTTCTTCTTTAATAACATCTTCGACACAGTTTTTCCAAAGCTCTTGGCGGTCTGCTACTAGAACTTTCTTTACGAGTTGTACAACCTCTTTACTCAGTTCTGGAGACTGATTACATTTTCGTAATTCTGATTTTACGTTTGCCCATATTAACTCTATAGGGTTAAATATGCAATAGTAAGGAGGTAGTCTGAGAAGAGTATGACCCTGTTCTTTGCACAGCTTGTCAATATAATAAATTTTTTCCAACTTCATGCCTTTAATAACAGTAAGCAATTCTTTGTTTGTTGGGCCTTTTTTACGATCACTGGCAGGAATAGGAATATTTTTTTCAGACATAAACGCTAAAATTTGAGCTTTGTTACTGCTACTATTTGGTATTTTAAGGAGTTTCCGCGAGTGGTAGGATGCGTTGTCCATAACGATTACTGACTGTGGTGGAATGTTAGGTAAAAGCGGTTCATTAAACCATTTTTCAAATAATTCTGCTGTCATATCTTCATGATAATCAGCTGTATAGTTCTTAATTTGTTTAGCAGATAATAATAAAGCATTAGGCACGAAACTGTCTTTGCTTCCACCGTGTACTATTATAATACGTTTCCTTTTAGAACAAGGCCCATTCAAACAGCAATTTTTACTACTATCAACCCAACCGAAATTTACTACATCGTGACTGTCAAACCATGTTTCATCTAGATAAATTATGTGTCTATTAGAACTTCGGTACTCTTTTATCTGACGCAAATAATCTTGTCGCCATTGAACTATCCTTGACGATTCGGTGATTGCCATCCGTTTATTCAATTTTTTGTGTTTAAAACCACATGCTGATAAACTTGACGCAATGTTTCCAAACTGGTATAAGTGTATCCTGGAAAATCTGCTACCTTTTGCTGTATTACTTCCAATGTTGGAACCCTGCTCTCCTTATATAAACTATATTTTGTCCTTCGTATAAAATCTTGGGCAGCTCTGTCAACTGATTTCAGTTTTTCTTTACATATTTTTCGGTTTTGTGAATGATCCATAGCAACCCCTTTTGTGACTACCCGATAAATGGAAAATTTATTTACTTTAGTTAATTCAGCAATTCTTATTATGATCGCATTATCAGACTGCTGAATATTTTCCTTTTTTAAACATTCGAATATATTTAAAATAACTTGTTGTGTTTGTATATTCAAATACTTATTGTTAAAGTCATACCTGTCCATAATCTCACTACACTGTGCAATTTCATTTTCTTCATTCGCCCACGGTCTAAAAAACGTTATATTTATATTTATTAAAAGAAATTTAACCTCGCATACAAAACACACCCCACGACAGTACTCCACTGATATCGCAGACTGTCTTCTAGGAATATTTTCGAACACTCCTGTCCTCCGTAAACCTTCGGCCAATACAGTGCATTTAAGTTTACAATTCGATGTTTTCATTGGTAAACAACGGAGATGATGGATTTTGACACATATATATTAAGTACACGTGGACTGACCGTTCGTTTAATATTTACCGCATTGTATAAGGGGAGTAAACATTATTTTTCGTTTCTAAATTTGGCATGAGTGCCGTGCGTATATATTAAATATTGATGATTCCTTACATAACTGTGTTCTGCAATTGATAATGGAAGGACTATTTTTAATTGAATAAAAACTAGAACTCTCTCGAAAGTAAATATCGGAAAAATCTTTTGAATATTGAGTAATTACTTGTAAGTACTTATTTATATTTACAAGTATTTACTTTTTTCGTTGCGTATGATGAATGATAGACATGGGAACGCAAACACAACCCTCTAAACAAAAATTGATACTAAATATGTCGTGACAGGATTGTATGCAACCACAAGTAGGCATTTGTTTTCGAGTAAGAAAGAATTAATTGCCAGTAAAAATTGGCGGTTACAGACTTATGTTTGTTAAATTGCTAAAAAAGTATAAGGTTCTTTTGAATAAATCAATGATTCCTACTATAGTTCAAGCTTAAGAAAAGGCATGAAAAGATCTCAAACACGAATTTATCAAAATGTCTGGGACAAATACTACTGTTGAAAAGTCTACACTTTCACTTTCAAAACGCAACAAGAGCTTAGATTTGCTTGGGCCGATGCTTCTCTTACTATAGTTCTTCCTGTTACGAACATTTATGAAGTCCACCATGTTTAACAAAGTATATTAGCAACTACCATAATACTTAATTAAGAGCAAGTAGAAGCCAATACTTCTTTTTATTCAATAGGCCCAATGAAGGGACTACAATAAACGTTTGTGTAAATTTGTTTCCTACAGTTACCGATAATTAAGAAATTTCGTTTTGATAAAGATTTCGGTTTTATTAACATTTCAATTACAAGTTTTTATTGAAACGGGCAATTTATAATTTATTGAATCCTAATAACTAGAATTTAGGCAATCAACTAGTAAGTCTTTATTTTTTTTAAACAATAAAGATTGCATTAAGTAATTATGCTTTAAATTTCACGAAAAGAAGAAAATCTGGGTGCATTCTTTTCGTTGGACCACCCTGTATAGCTACAACATGATATATATATACATGGATATCAAGATCCACGGTTAGGAAATCAGAGGTCATGATTGACGTCAATTGGTGCGGCGTGCGGTGGGTAAGTTGGTCGTTCTCTCGCAATGCACGACTCGCAACGCTGCTGCTGTCTCACTTATCGAATCCGAGGAGGCATGGCACGTTGACTTCGTTGTGCCTTCTTTGATTTCTAATCACTCACTTTCATTTATTACGCTTACTCGATTTATAAGTTGGATGAGAAATTATAAATAAGTACACGTATGGAGGTGTTAAGTTGAAAATACAGATTGTAAAATATTTAAGTAGCGTTTTTATATTTGTGTTAGAATATTTGGATGTGTATGTTTTATGTAGTTTTTTATTTGAATGTATTTGTTTTAAAACTATAGAAAAATGTTTTAAAATTACTACAAACTGTTCACAGTTAAGTTGTCTATTACAGAATCCATTTTATGCAATACTCTGTGAATATTCTATTTAAAAATCTATAAAAATGTAGTTTTATAAATTACACTCTCCAAACAATATTCAATTGGAATTAAATCAGGATATTTAGGTGATCCCCATCTTCCTATCCACTTATTGGGGGTGATTATTATCTACTCACTGATTAAAAATTAAATTTTAACAATGGGATAAATAATAAATGTGATTATTTTTTAATTAGAAATATTTCTAATGTTGGTTTTAATAATGCGGTCAGAAAATTGAAGCCAAAAAAGCTGAAGTTACGAATGGTATTCCACCGTATGTTTTGAAAGGCTGGTGAATGGCTAAGAATGCCCCTTACTTATCTTTTTAATTTAATTCTCAAGACTAAAGACAAAAGTATTTCCAGTGTAATGAAAAATTGAAGTCACTACACCAATTTATAAATCTGTAAGGAAATCAAATAAAGGACATTACAGGCCAATTTGGATAATGTGTTCTCCATTCAAATTATTTGAACAAATAATATACAGGGTGTTCATTTGAAAAATTCCCACCCTTACTATCTTCCTTCCTATAAATAATATGAAAAAACGAAAAAACACGTCAATCTTATGTTCTAAAGGGATACTTTCAGTAAATATTTTCAGCCGTCGTGGTTCAATCCCCTAGAAAGTGTAGGGTGGAATCCTAAATAAGAAAAGGAGTCAAGTGACACATCATTTTAAAGATAATTTTATGTTGAATTCGGCGGTGTGATTATTCGCCTTCATGACAAAACAGCGCAGGACAAAATGGCGCAAGAACAATATAGCACAAGGATAAAATTGCACAAAATTTCATTTAAATAACCGTAAAAGACTGTTTCGACGACGCATATGCAGTGAATGTTTGGAGTGTAGCTTCTTCTTTCTCGCATTTTAAGATCCGATCCATTTCTGAGACAATTCCGCGCGTAAAAAATTTACCTCGACAAGTATGCGCCGAGACAAATACATGAAAGACAAGTTAGAGCATGATATAAATAAAGTGAGACAAATTAACGCTTGATCAAATTATAGTGAGTCAAGTTAGTGCTTAGTCAAAAAAAAGGCGAGGCACATTATTTCAATATTCCAATTAAAATTAAAGAAAAAACACTTAACTAATTTACCTAACCTGTGCGGCCTGGAGCCATCGCGGGTTGCTGTATATGGTTCCAGTCCGTAC